GGACAACTTACTTCGAGGGAATCGGACTCTGGTTGCCATATTACACACTCCTTTGCCAGGAGTAGCACCAATAAATTATGAATTTCCACGCGTCCTGTGTACAACGAATTTATGAAATGAAAAGGAGCTCCCACACCCACCTAAAGGCTCCACTTGACAAGTAGTAACAAATAGCGAAAAATAATTCTTTAGCATTTATATTTTTTAGATGCATGTGGGGATTTTCAGTTGTTTCAAACTTGGGTTGTGCATTGCAGTCGTGGGTTTTCTGCACTGAAAATTTGTGAAGGTTACAGGAGGACATTACTAACTTAACAGAACTACTCGAAGTAGACGTAGTTTTTTTCCTCCTTTCCTTCGTCTAACTTATTTATGGTTAATAAACGCAATCACTTTATGACGCAACTATTACATAAATTCTAACATGTCCAACTTTTTTGTTTCTGAGACTCAATATTAAAACTGGGAGTGAGGCAAAAGTAAAACAAAAGGGACAAGGAATAAATCCTGACGTACTGCTTGGGATTAGCACATAAGATGACAAATGAAATCCAAAAAGAAAGTGCAACCAAATATCACGGGAAGAGAAGAGGACAAATATCCCTTTGTGCTAGACGACCGCAGGCAGGGGTTGATATTGCAACTACTTATTTGACCTTTAAGTACAGAGATGTAGTGGAATTGAAGACGAAGTATGTTTGACTATTGGCAATGACAATGATCCAGTAATTCCAAGCAATAACTTGAGTAACAACAAAACCGCATAGGAAAGAAAGTTGAACGAAGAAAACAAAAAAAGTTTTCAACTTTTCGTAATGTTAACTTCACTGGATAAATGGTTGGGTTTGGTTAAGAAATCATATATGTAATAGTATTTCAGTTATGTAAGTACATATATAGGAAATATTAAACTTCACATTGGAAATTCAAGCAAAATATATGAAACCTTTCGGTCTCAATGAAAATTAGTCGCATATTAGATATTTCCAGCATGTAAATATATTTACGAATAACTTTCAAACAATTTTTTTGTGTCCTTTATAGCAAAATTAGTTGAGGAACTCGGTTCAATTCAATCGGTGAAATTATTTGACGAGTCATCTTCTTGCTTCCATTTTTAGCTTGCTCCACGTTTACATACTTCAAGAGTCTGTATTCATGAATACGAGTCTCATACCAATCAATTCTCTCTTCTCAACTTGAGAAATTTCCAATTTCATTTCGTGCAACCCGTTTCTCTACCAAGAGTTGGAATACAGCTATGCCAATATCTCAAACAATTACAATAACTCGCAAGCTGGTTTCCTTCTCGTATAAAAGTCTAGTAGAACCAATTTTCTTGGATAACGCAGTCGAGCAAAGTCAACATATAACAAAGCTGATTTAATAGTCTTCTTGGAATCTAGAATGACATTCAACCTTTGTAAGCAACACTCAAGGAAGGGGATTATTATGGCTGAGAGAGATGACAAAATGAATTTTGTCATCAAAATTGCAAAAAACGATTGGATTCTATCATCATCAAATGCGTCCAATGTTAAGGATGATAAAATTACAAGAGCTTTTGGCTTGGTATCAAATCAAGTGATTGGAATGAGTGGTATATTCGCCATCAAAATGAAACTGTTAACTCAAGGTGAAAGTCAACATGGTGAACCAGCTCAAAAGGAGTGGGTAAACAGCAATTTCCTTTGGTGAAAGCACCCCAGAAAATAATGAAGTGAGCGATTTACCTTGCGTTCAAATAACTAAAATCTGATGTGTTTCTTGTTGGTTGGAGAATGAATGGTGGTTAGAACTACCATTCGACTTCGGCACACGTCCAACCGCAATTTATTTCCCCCGTCAATTTCCACCTCTTGTGCCATGCATGTGAGTTGCCTGACTCAATGCGAAGGTAAAAGATTGAATGTTTCTTGCAAATGTGTTTGTTAACTTGCTTCGCTAAAACTTTCACCAACTTTATCCAACTACTCGACTACGAGGGACAAGGGTTTGTGAAGTGGTTGCGCTGTGTGTGTGCATTGTTCTCTCCATTCCTCCATTACATTATAGCCATATACGTACGGTACACTAACTCTATTAGCTTTTTCATCAAAGGGATCTCAAAGGATGTTTTAGTTCCCTCATTTATTTCTTTTATGTGTCCCAATTAGCTCGTAGAGCGAATTGTCAAAAAATCGAGGTGGATTAAATGAACGTCCAAGAAGGTAATCAAGTCAAGATAATGGTGGCGTGGTGGTGAAAGTTTTGGGTGTAGTGATCACGCAGAGTGAGTGTGTGCATACATGTGCATACATATATCATCTGCGTTCCTCGAAACGAAATCTAAACGCGGAGAAAGCCTTGAACCACGACGACTCCACATAATTACGACCTGAGGAGTGGCAGAGGTGTTGTATATCTAGTGAAGCTCCTTCTCGACGATAGCAACAACAACCAAGCAACACGATTACTGTTGAAGGGGAAAATAAATCCTACAAATTCCCTAAAGATTATTATTCTGCTACAAAAACGACTTTTTCCACTAGAACGAAATAAAGGATTTTCACCAGAACTGAGGAAAATGATCCTTACGGTGAAAAAAACGTCGCTGTTACTGCACCTACATACGCTGCCATACATATTTCACCGCCTATATATTTCACATTAGGTGATCGTATTTCATTACACGTAGATACGTATGTACGTGTACCTCCTTTAATGCTCAACAGTCGAAATACACACACTTATGTTGCTGCAATTTGCTTTGAGCTAATCGGTTCGGCCTAGTAACAGAAAGGGTTGAAAATAAAGTAACATCAAATAGTGAGAGAGGTTACTTTCTATGAGAGAGAGCTGGATAGATATGTGTAAATATATGGCGGCCTCCAAGGAATAGAAGTATGTACGAAGATTTCACTGTTAATTTAAGTTTTGCTGGTTTGGTCTTCCTTCAATTTCACTTCCAATAAAACAAACAGTATTTCAGGAGGAGAGAGGAAGACTAGACCCATTACTTCGACTAACTTGGCACAAAGGAAATTGCCGAGAAAAGAGTAGAAAAAACAAGGTCCATTTCGTACCCCACATGTCCTGTCCTTGAGGTGGACATGCAATTAACTTTAGTCGTTTTGTTCTTTGTGGCTTCATCCAAAGCAAACCAATTCAACTTTAGCTTACACCGCCAGCACTTATGTCCCACTGAACATTGCTCGGACATTATATGGAATGGCAAGTTCAATCCGGGTGATGAAAGAAAGGAACATTTTGATTCGATATTTGACACTTTTTATCTTTTCTCGGTTGTAATGAAACAAAAGTCACCCAAGTAGAACCAACCACAACACTAATGGTGAACGTGAAAGCTCACTCTGTGGTTAGAATTTTATTCCCTACTGGAAATTGTTTTCCAGTGACTGTGGATGAAGCTCGGTGGTGTTTGGTGTCGCAAAGAAGGAGATGGTTCATAGACAACGGCTTTCTCTCACAGCTTATCCTTAGGCTTTCATCGGGTAGTTCTTGTAAGGAGCGACAAGAGATCCGACTACAAGTGGTGATATGGATAGAACGTGTTAATGAACAAATTTTCTCGTTTTTATGTGCAATCAAGCTCCCTAAAAACTAACAAAATCTCTCCAATTTTCTATAAAACTTTCAGCTCATATCGTTTTGCATTACGTTATAAGTACTTCAGAGAAAGGCCAATACTATAATACTAATAATTCCACTAAATCCAACCTTATTTTAAGAAGGATTTATTATTGTCATTTTCTCAGATTTTGAAGCCTTTTTGACAAATTAATTGACAACATCCAATTTACGGAAGGAACTACTGTCGGATCAGCTCATTCTCTGGCTTTTTCTCGGCTGACGAAGAAATTAAACAGATAGGATACTTGGATTCAGGCTGATCAATATATTAAATCATCGAGCTCTAAAACTGGAAGCCGATTCATTTTTCTAGAAAAAATGAGAATCCCAATTGAGTTCCCTCTCTTCTTTTTTTCAATTCCAATTCCAGCATTTTGCAGAGAAATAAGAAATAGAGGGAGATGAACAGTTTAGATTTTTCTCCGTCTACCTCGTCTCAGTTCTCAATTTCTCATTATTTTCTCCCTTCTTCCATCCAAGTCTTAATTCAAAAAGATGAGTCGTCGTCTTTCCACATCCCCCTCGCTCGGTTTATTTTATTGGACATGTATTCCTTTCAACCGACTAACATTATCAACGATCAAGCCATGTTTCACAAGAGTTGTAGCTCTGCTGTACAGGCTCCTTAAACGTGATGACAGGAAGAAAAGTAGGTTTTGACTCGTATTTGGAAATATAACTCCCTTTCTACGGCAATAAAATCTGATCCGCAGCCTATCCCACGTTACTCATTAAAAAGAATATATAAATGAGATAGATGACAATTTCGCGAAATAGTTTTTCTGGAATTCTTTTCTATACAACCATAAATTTCACATTTCACAGATTACGACGAAGAGGAGAAAATAGAGGAGCAAGAACATCTTCACCATCAGGGAATCACTTGCACCCGATCAATCTATATAGGCGTGAAATTGTGAATTGTGAATCAAGAAATCTGTTGCTGGTCTGGTAGAAATTTCATTAATGCTAAAAGCTTCAAGTAACTCATAAGAAAGATTTGTGAATTACGCCAAACATCTGTTAATTTTTAATTTGATAGGACCGACGCATGCACATGATAAAGGAATTCTCCACGATGCTTCAAATGAATTATGATTTGTAATTTGCCGAAATGGTGCTGGCGTAAGTATACGTGATGATATGGACAACTCCCCTTTTTGAAACTTACCGAGCGATTAACCTCCTTTGCGTTATGCACACCATATCGTTTGTACCAAGCATGTAATAGCCCCACCACCAAATGCTCGGGAAACAGACATAAAATAAAGTAAAAGTAGAACTATACGTAGACCGGAATAAGACCAAAAAGTCAGTGGCAATATATTTGAGAAAGTTATAAATTTTGCAATAGTAGTTATACTTACTATATTATCACTAATCTCCGTGCTTAATCCAGATTGTGTGTACCTATACACATAATATGTGACATCCCATACTTTCATATGTGACTATGTCGTTCATACAAAGTCTACTAAATTTACGATTCATAATTACAATCATTACGGAAACGTGACACAGCTCTTTGGGCCAAGCAATCTCCATCAGTTCTGGCCCATTAAGGTTCCTCGGATGTTTCCAGTGAGGAAAAGCATGGCATGACTAGACCACAACATTCTAATAAAAGTAGGTGTGGCTATGCTGCATTGTATCGTCAAACATACGCATGGGAGCAGCTTCGGCTACAAATATAACAAATATAATAGGACATCACAAACAAAACCAAAAACAAAGACGAGAATTGTTATGCAATTTAATTTCACCTAAAATGCTTCATACGCTACATATGTACACGCTGAGGAGTCCTGAATATGTCACGCGAAAAACTGCTACAGTTGGTTTATTTGGACATGATAAAAAAATGTCTAAACGATGTATTCATTCGCATAACTATGTGACAACTGGACTTGCACAGAGATCGTTCGAACGACTTAAATTTGTTTCATACTTTGAAAATGAAATAAGTAGATTGAGCAATAAACTCATAAAAGGAACAGAAAATATTATTACCAGAACTGTGAAACGTACATATCTATGTTGACAAAAATGCAGTATGGAGAGGAACAGGCAGAGGCAATATCATATACGACCAGTGAAAGCATCAAATTCCGGAATGATTTAGTTCATCCAAGGAAAGCAATCCTCTTCATCTTCCGGAAAAACAACTTGGTAGAAAATTAAAGGACGAAATTATAAGAAAAATGAATCAGCCAAAGTCTCCAACTAATGCTTGTTTGGTTTATAGCGTCAACAGCGAGTAAAAATGTAGAAATAAAGCACTTGAGGACGCTCAAGCTTTACTCAGTGTTTCTTCTTATAATAAAAGAATTCACAGGCTTAACTCGGGTTAAATGATCCAAGTGAATAAGGGGAGACCCTAAAAGTGTGTGTGGCGAGAGTGCCGCTCTGGGCCATCAGACGAACGATACAGTCCCACAGCTCAAGTTGTCTGGCGTAAATCCTAATAAAAATTCTATTTTTATTTTATAGGCGTGAGATGAAAAGGGCAGCGAGGAGTTGAAGTTGAGGAAATTATCTCAAGACAAGACAGGAGGAGTTGACATAAACGTATGACTGGGCTTATCCAACTTCTCCTCACGACCTCTCGCAAGCCGCACCCACCACAGCACAACAATTCTGACGACCAGGACGGAGAAGTGGTGCTTCGCCCCTGTATCCTTCGCTTGCCCACTTCGCATCCCTTTTTGAAATGTTTGGACACAGATTAAAATCGTGGATGGAAAACAAGTGAGTGCGAACCTTTCAAATAATTTGATTATAACGGAGCATTACTCCGTTTTACCTGTCGTACGAGACAACATTTTGACACTACAGACTGTAATAAATTCCAGTTCATTGAAATCAACTTAATCGCGTAGAAAAATTGTACCATAAACTTTGTTCATTGTCTTGATTCTGATCCTGATCATTAAATGCATACGATAAATTATAGCGTATGTACATATAGCACAATTTGTCAATTTTGGTATTTTAGATTATATCGCCAAAAATCTAACCATCAGAACCAAAAGAGCAACCGAGCACTGAAGGATGCCACAGCCACGTCTCAATCTCCAGAATCCAGTGGAGGAGTCGGTCCCTCTCTTACGTCGACGACCTCCCCGACGACGACCTCAACAATAACGACAATGACGACGGTGACAAGTGGTGCTGGACTGATATCTTCATCAAACGGTAATCCACATCTGGTTGAGCACACTATGTAATCCTAGAGAGCAGCTACAGTATCAGGTTTTATATTTTAACCTCAACTCATATCTAAGCAAACTTTGCCGTTTACTTTTCTACCACAGTCACCAACAACGCCGCTCCGTCCAGTTCACAAATTCAATCGGAATCAGTGGCAGCAGTTCAAACGGCGCAGCTCCAGAAACAAGAAAATCGCCCAACAAAAGATTACGAAGACGACGAAGAGGAGAAAATAGAGGAGCAAGAACATCATCATCATCAGGGAATCACTTGCACCCGATCCAGCACCACTGGCTCAGTTAGCAATAGCACCAGTCACAACATTCTCCAGGGAGCGTTTTGCAACAACCTGTCTTCGCCGGACACGGTATTTGCGAGAATTAATTCATTAATTTATTACAAATGTATAAGGTGATAACAATAATCCATATTAATCACTAAAATTTAGCCAACATTGGCTCCACCCCCCAAAAAAACTTTACAAAATCAACAATTTCACCCCATGAATCAGAATCAATGAGACTTAGAGAGACACACTTATTCGTAGAATAACATTGACTAGAAGGGAGGCGGCGGAGGGGATTGTGACATCCTAACAAATAGGCAATATAGCCAGAAATTATCATCTTAGCCTCGATCTTCGTCGCTTCCTTTTTGTCACATTTTGCTAAAAGAGAGCAGGTAATTGTGGGGGCTCGCATTCCACTCAGTTTGGCTCTTTCTTCCGTAATCTTCTTATACATACTAGCACCATCAGTCTTCTCATCTCTTTTCAGTCGATTCTGGAATCCAGGCGTGTCACTCCAGCCAAAATACCACATGTCTCTGCTATGAATGACATAGAGAAATGCCTTTCCCTTTTCTGCCTTCTGTTCTGAAACTGCCCCTGATCCGTACAGATACTCTCCGAGGGGATATTCCAGTACCTTCTTCTCATCCGGTGTTAATTGACGACGAATTTTCAACTCCATCCCCATCTCTTTCAGTCGCTCATCGATTTCTCGCTCCATACCGTGACACAGGGGGATGAGATTGTCCAAATTGACGAAAGGAGTACTTGGGGCGAGTTTCATAAACATTCCTATAGTCTAAATGCATAATAATAATAATGATCAAATCATTCTCATTCTCACACATGCACAGTTTAGAGCTAACTTCTCTAACCGTCTCAAATGACAGCCGTTTTAAAGCATCCTCCTCGTTTTCAAAGTGGTTGATGGAGAGAACCTTGGGGATGAGACGACTGTTTTTGACCTTTTTTTGGTCACTATAATCCTTCCACGTTTGATAGTGCAGAACATTTTTTCCAACATACAATTGTGCCTGCAAATGTTTGTCCAAGTCTAACGAATTAAACGGATAAGAAATTCCAAACTTCGTGTGAATTTGCACCAGAACATCTCTCTCCTCGTAATCCGTAACTGTCGCCACGCTGTACATCCACCGATCTCTGTGCAGGAGACATTTAGGTAAAACGTCACTCGATAATGTGTTCTTGTTCTGATAGCAATCTGCAATATTAATGTATTGATTTAAATGCAAAACCCCAGGTAATAAATAATATTTATTTGAAGAATACTTACTTCGCTTGGTACATAACCTCTCAGCTTTATAAAGGAAGCCCCTTTTATGGTTGCTCAAATACTCGATACACAGGTGGATTATCCCGTTCTCCGGCGACTTGTGAATAATTATATTCCAGTCGGGTTTGCCGATCACTGGGACTCTTCCTCCTCTGGTAAAAATAACTGTAAAAAGCTCTTCTCTCTGCTCATCTGTCAAACCCTTATCCTCTTGAGTCAGAACAAGTTCGGGGGACGATTCGTCATCTTCCTGGACAGGAGAAGAGTTGGGTCCAATCAACTGCATGATCGTTTGTCTGATCAAATCGGATGCTCTACCTATACGGCAATAACATTAGTGTTGCATACATGTGTCACCCAGAATACTAATAAGTTGTCCCTTTACCTATTTATTGTTTACCAGCTTTATTGTCAGTTGACCCACTGTACTTAATTTGGAACTCTTGCTCCAAATCACCTACAGGTCGAGGCTGAATTCCCCTTCCATCCCTCCAGTGGCTCTTCACCTCCTGCATCCCCTCCACTTCCGGAACGTAGGACCACTCGACCGGTTGAAATTTTTCGTCCTCTCTGGCTACACTTCTTGCCGTGACGGATTCTCTCGTCTTCTTATCCTTCGTGTCAGGGGGGTTTAGATAGCCAATTGGAGCCAGAGGATGCTTAGCTGTCTCCACCTTCAAGGGTTGTGCAGAAGTAGTATCGTCCTCTTCGTGCTCTAATTCCCGACTGTGTAATCGAGGAGAGAAGTAATTAAGTTATTAGTGTCATATTATTTCATCATCATCCCTTATTGCATCACCTGCTTCCGGGCTGGTCCTTTTTCTTTCGTCCTCCTTTCACCATCACGATGGCCTCTGGAGAGGACAAGCAGACCTTGGCTGTGTTCTGAGAATACAAAATAAGTAATTCAAAGTTATAAATAATTGCAACTATTTTCATTATTCCAACCACCACCCACCTCTTTATTATTTCCGTCTTCTGTCTCTTCAAACTCGTCAAACGTCGGTCGTGGCCGTTTAGGGACAGTTTCTTGCCCTCCAGAGTCCAACGGAAGTGGGTTTGTCTCGACGGTGACGACCCCAGTTGACTCTGTCTCACAGGCAGCGACTTCCTCCTCCAATACCTCGTCGGAAACAGTAGGAGGAGGGACCTCCTCGTTGTCGACGTTTTCCACCATCTCAGGTATGGGAGTGGGTGAAGGGGTGAAGGTCCTCTTCCGACGTGGGGTTCTCTTCCTCTTTCTCCTTTGACTGCAACAAGCAATAAATTAAATAAATAAGGGCTGGGAGGAGGAGGAGAAAAAACTAACCGTTTCTTTATCTTGGAAGGACCACTGACTTCCTTGGATGCTCTCGACTGAATAAAGTCGGAGTCATCTGACCACTCACCCCCTTCTTGCATTTTAAATAACAAAAATTCGAAAAAAACCAAAATTATAAAATAATTTGGAGATGGTGAAACTTTGTGATAAAAGGAGCAAGTGTGATAAAAGAGGAAAGAGGAGTGAATCAAATTCCCACTTGACCGGGGAAATGTAACAATGTGGTTATGTTCAATTTAGGGGTATTCTACGGACGGCTACTCACCGAAAAGTGTGTACCCAGCTCTTTCCTTCGAGTCGTCTGGAAAGTCTACCCCCAAATCATCCTACACAATCAGTTCGCTCGTCTCCTCCGAGCTGCATCTCAGCACCAGTTCCAAGGGGAACACGGCCAGTCTCTCCTCAGCCAGTTGCTCAGTCAACAATGGTCTCGAGTCAGACGACGTTGAATGTGCTTCCCCACGAGTTTTGCTGAAGACATCCGCCTCACTCCCTCCTCATCCAGAGGCTGACAGATCCAACTTGGGACTTGGAAATGGTATTATTATCAACGAAAAGAAGACGAGTGCCGCTGGAGGGGGAGGAGGACATGAGAATCAAATTACCTCACAACAGCATTCACATTCCATTAAGCAGCAGCCGTCCAACAATGCTGCTCCTGTCACTCTAACAACTCGGGACAGTTTCAGAGGTAATGACAATGTCAGCGACACACAATGTAATCCAAAAAAGTCATCATTGAGCCATCTCGTCGGAGGCGAGTTTACGTCACATCAGCAGCAACTTTCTCCAGCTGAACGTGGGGGCAGTATGGTAGCAGCCAAGCAAATGCATGGCAATTGTACTAGTCAAGGCATCATTATTGACCAGAATTGCAGAACAGGATCAAGTAACCTCAACTCTGATAATTATGACGGTCATATCTGCTCCTCAACAAACCCTTTTTGTAGCGGTTGTAGCCATCGAATCCAAAGTAGCCCCGCTCCCCCTACGACTACCCCTTTCGATAACAATCCTCACAATCACACGAGGAACAGCAACGTGAATGAGCTAAAGTTAAGTGTGCCAAGAAGTGCGTCGCCGGATAATAGTGAAGGTAATTCATCATCATCCTTGTTGACAGGCTCGAGCAACCGGAATATCCGAACCTCATTCGTCCTTGTAACCACTGCCACCAGTCAGATTCCTGAATGTGCGAGTAGTTTCAGCTTAAAAAATTCCTTCTCCATTTGCTCTCCAAGAAAAGAGCGCACGAGGATAAAGACTAACCCCTGGATTACCTTCACCAATACGACGAATGATGGAAATTCAAATAAGGTTGAATCCAATAGTTCGCCAGTTGTGATCAGGGTGAACAAGGGAGCAGGACATGTGGGCTTGGTGAGTGGAAATACCGGAACTGAGAAAGTCAGCATGATACAATCCCAGCACTTGGTCTGCAGGAGCAGTAGCACCTGTCTCAGCAGTTCTGCTACACGCAGTGGAATTGGCAGTGGTGGTACTGAAGATGCGAGGAACGAAACTGACAATCAGGCGAAAGGTAGTCGTGAAACTGGAGGGGAAATTAGAAACATGTGCAACAAAGGAGAAAGCAGAGACAGTGGGATCGAGGATCATCATCATCACCATCATCAGAGTGGTGATACATTGAGCTTAGTTTACCGTATTTCCACATCTGCAAGCGCGTCCGATTCAGGTTTGGATTTGGAGTCTGGAACGTGTAATAGAAATTCCACGGAATCTTCCTTGTTAAGTGATTCTGCATCTACTCGAAACTCCATGATTTCACATGAAGCTGAGCTTGGATGTAGTCGCAGCAGTAGCATCACCAGTCCCACCACCTTTTTCGCTGCTCCGCAACAACAGCAACAACACATTGGAGATTACCAAGCAGCATCTTCTCATCATCAGTGTGTTAAAGTACCACCGGTGAAAGTGAGCAGTGGTTGTGGTGGCCGGACGGCGATGATGGGGTCAAGTGCGGGTGTTAGTGCTCTAAGAAGCACCCCGACGGCGGTGAAGAAATCACCCGTACCAAAAGTGTATAATAATAATAATAATAATATGGTCATGGTGTCAAACAATGAAAATAGTCAAGTGGAAGACCAAGACGTCACTTCCTCGTCCATCACACTTCCTCCAGAACTCCTTTCATCGAGTAGGAGCATTAGTGTAAGTGCTCAGACAAATGTGATTATGGTTGATAAACAGACGGATATCTTGAGTGACTGGAATACGGATGATGACGGGGAAGATGAGATTGAGACGGATAGGAACGACGATGACGACTGTGACGACGAAGAGGAGGACGAACGAGTTACACCCACACCTTCCTCACCAGACACAGACACTGGAGGAAGGGCAATTTTTCATCGTAGTCAATCCACCAGCAGTGTGACCGATATAGATTTTGGTGATAGCAGTGCGGCAACGGCAGCCTCCTCCACAGGAATTGCTCCTTCATCGTCCATTTTTAAAAGTCAAGCCGGTAGCAAAGTAGGTTCCTCTATGTATAACCATAAGGGTGCTATCAACAAGATCAGTTGCGTGGCCGATATTTACAATCATGATAATCATCATCGCCATAATAATATGATCAGCCCACAGACCACATGTTACTCGTCGAATCCCACTCCTCCTCAACAAGGAGGGCCCCAAAATATTCACTGGGTCGAGACTGACGAAATGTATGATAGGAAACTGACGATGGAAAAAACAACGAGAATAACGTCAATGGAAAATGACATCCTTCGAATAACTCCAAAAACTGGGGTAATGTACCCCACGAGACATGCACTCGGAATTGATGCCGATTCACTCTGCTCTGATGTCTGTGAGTTTCCTGATTATAATGCAAATAAGCCACTGCCAAACTCATCCTCGTCGTCTAATGCAATTGCCAGAGGAGCGTTGGGGTTTCTCAGAAAAATATTCAAAAAGGGGTCATGTTCCAGTCACAGGACTAGTCCGGGGAGCGATAAAGTCAAAATTCCTCGTTCTGCCAAATCTAAAGACAGTCATTTGGACGACAATATTGCAACCATAACTGGGTTACGATCTACTTCCCTGATAACGACGGCAGATGCGTTAGTTTCTCCTCATCCACTTGTCTCAAGAAAACCGTCCATTAACGGCTACTTTCTAACACCCACTCCAAATGCGTTCAGAAGGAGGAGCGGTGGTGGTGGTGGCGACTCGTCCGATTCCAATAAAGGTTCGCACAAACATCACAATAAGGCTGTCAAGACGGATGTCATTAGACTGCTGCCGGCAGGAGCACTTTCTCCAACCCAACAAGTCTTGCATGCAAACTCCTCATCGTCCACATCTTCCTCCACCAAAAATGCGACCATTATTGGTGCTTTCTCTAATAATATAACTGAGAGTGGAAATAATAATATTCACGCGTACTCGAATACCAGCACAAACTCCACTGCGAGCTCGATTCATTCCATGTCGACCTCCACGTCCGCAGCCTCCAACACTGGAACGGGCCTTGGTGGCGAAAATCATGTAAATGGACACCCTCCATACGGTCGAAACCAGAATCAACGTCTTAACGACAACTTTTATTCGAATTCCAACTCGAGTAGGCAACCCCCATTTTTGCCCATTGAAAACGGCAGAGGACATTATCCGCCACCTACAGAAATGCATTCCACCAAACCACCTCAATTGCCAGCGCAACCCCCCGTACCTCAGGATCCAGCCTACCACCCATACTATGGACAAGTACCAACCCATCTTCCTGCTCCAACTTGTCAAATAAGTCACCAGCAACAAGATCGTGACTTTGGAGCGGGACACGTTTACCGACCCCCCTCCACTTGTGGTCCGTATGAGTCTCCCCGGCTTCAAAATCCTCATCATCACAGAATTAATTCCCCAAGTTTTAACAACTATTCACCGATTCATCGCTTGGTTGTAACAAATGGAGCATCACAATTACTACTAAATCGTGGCGGATCTTCTACTTCCACTAATAATGGTCCAAACTGTGCTTCACCAATAATTCCACCATTTCAATCTACCGAGTCCCCACACTTAACCTCAAGAAATAGAAATAGAGGAGGTGCTGACTCGAAAAGTTATTTACATCAACACAATAACAGCAATAATAACAACACTTCATCAGCAGCACAAATTCCTAACATAAATCGTTCCTATCAGACCACATCTTCCTCACCTTCCCCTCTAATTAATAAGCCCAGCCATCAACATCATCATCATCAACAACAACCACAGCAGGAACCTCTTTCCATTTCATCGCCTCGACCCCAGCTCCCAGCATCCAATACTTTCACCTCCCCTTCACCCATTCAAAGAAATCCCCGGTATCAATACATCACTTCCTCAAATCAAAACTCGCCCATTCTGAATGTCCCCAAGAGAATGAATGGAGGGGTAACAGCTCCTCCTCCGCCGTCGATTCCTCAAAACCCGCACTATTATTACCATAACCATGCTAACCAGCAGAACCAGGAAGGAGGATCATCATTTCCCAACGGGCGACCGCCACCGTCCTTCTCGACTTTCTCCCCTACGCCTCCTTCGAGACAAATCACCACACAATGTAATAATAATCCATTTTCAGCTGCCAGTCCTAATTTGAATCACCATCAACTAAATTCACAACCCGTACAAAATCCTCTTTGCATCACCACTTCTCGACAGCATCGAAGCTTGGAGAATAGCGACATGACAAACTCTTCTCCGAATAATCCTAATCTTCACCTTCATCATCGAGGAGGCACAAGAGGACAGGAAAGTAGTGCAGAATGTCCAGGTCTATCATTAAATAGTCCAAACAACAAACATATTTTAAGCCGTAGTCAAAGTTATCAAGTTCAGGAGCACCAACAGGAAGACCAGTTCCACCCACCAGTGCATTATTATGCGTCACCAGTAGTGGTCTCACAACCAATACTCCCACCACAAACTCAGCAGCGAATGATAGGTCCACACCCGGTCGTGCATCCCATGAGCTTGAGTTTCAATGAACCTCCATTATTAATGAGGGCACATCTTCACAACCAAAATGTTCGACTTAACAATTTTCTCATGAAGATACGTCAGCATCATCATCATCCCATCCAACCTGACGCTTTTGCTGTCGAACAACAAATTCCTCAGTCTGACTCGTTCCAAGAGAGGATTTACGAGACTGTGGGTTCCGAGGATGACAACGACCAGAATGATGATGATGACGAGGAGGATGAGGAACACGGGTGCGTAGATGGTGGAGGCATAATAAGAAACCGCAACAGCATGCATCACCATAATAATGCCATAAGAGATCATTGCTTTCACCTAACCAACGAAGGCAGTGGCAACGGCCTGGAGCAGCACAGGACCAAGAAGAATCGTCGTTTACCAACCGCAATTTCGAATCTGGAATCAGGATTCCCATTCTCAAATAGAAGCAGTGGCAATGTTGATGATATAGCCTCTAAATCCAAAACTGAACAAAGTTCAAAATCAAAAAGATCAAAGACTAAGCTTCATCCTTCCTACTCCTCACAACAATACTACACGAGTGAAAGTTGTGAAAAGGACTCCATGTGCCAACAACCCCCACGTCCACCAGTCCCCATGGCTCTTTTTGGTCCCAATACTTTCTTGTCGGAAACGGAAACGAGGCTGATCCTGGAGACTGATGATAGAGAAGAAAGCCGAAAATTCAAACGCCTCATCAATGAAGTAAGTGAAAGTACCACACATATAAAGCATACTCAGATACTATGCGGCTCTGTTTCATGCATTCGAATGACAACCCCACAAAAACTGAGACCATAGCATCGATATATAAAGTTCATTACCATCCATTGCAATGCGTATTTGTTGTTTTTGACAGGCTGAAGCCTTATTGCGAGAAATCACAGCAGTAAAATCACAACAGCAGCCTTGGGTCCCACAACAACAATTTCCGCGGATGCAGAATCCAATGCGTGTGGAAGACTGTCCTCAAAGTGATCCGTTGCGGAGAAAGGTATAATTTCGTTCAGCGTTTTTGACCCCGCTATCCCATGAAAAACAAATTTCTAAACCAATTTCTCAACACAAGGCAATAATTTGTCAATAAGTACTTTCCCATCTTGTTAGAACTCTAACCTGTTTAGCATTAATTGTATTGTGTGTTCAGGGGTATGACTGTTGGGCTTTGCGAAGACTGCAACAAGAATTGGCTGGGTGCTGCGCTTCTCCTCCCGTCCTGCACAGATCGCGAATGAACTTGCAGTCGCCATCAACACCCACTGCAGCAACGACAGCCATTATGAACTCGTACTTTAGCCTCGTCCCCAATTCGCAAATGACAAATGCTAATTTTACAGATAGCCATAACCTAAATAATGCGCATTTCTAAACCTATTCTAAAGTCCTATGTGAGGAGCATTCCATGCTTTCACATAGTGCAAGGGTTTTCCACAAATGCATACCCATTTTTTGTAGAGTTATAACAAGGGCAGGAAAGCAGAAGACAAATGTGAGGCGTAATGATATTAATGTGAATCTCCTTCAACAAATTCAACAACTGGAGCAGCAGTACGTTTCCCCTGTCCTTGTCTCCCCTGCTGATAAGATAAAAGAGTCATAACGAACAACATAAAACTCCCAAATGTGAAATTCCCCTAGTCATCACCGCAAAGTGAAACTGAGCTTCATCCCCAATTTACAATCCTGATATAAACTCTGAATCGTTGGGGAATAACAAATTCACTTGTTGGCTGTACTGCTAGCCTGCTGTGTTGAAGGAAGTATTATGTATGACTCACATACTCGACTTATTGAGATTCAGAGTTTGAATTTCATACAGAAAGCAAAATAGAACATTTATGATAAAAAAAACATTGTGAAAAAACATTAAATTTTCATTATGTCATGAAATCTGAGATTTAAATATCCGTATACGTTGTACAAGTCAGCATTATCCTAGTTGTTAGCATATATTTGTTCAACCGTTTGAGTACAAAATAGATTATTCAAGTAGTCAAAAAGTTTGTGCTAGATTTTATCATATGAAATAAAATAATGACTATTTGATAGTGGATGTAAATTTGATCTAGAGCTTTAAGTACGATAACCTCCATAGATTGTAGGATAGAAGACTGTTGGATTATAGCCGTGGCCACAATAATCAAATTATCAAATATGCAGATTTTGTGCCGAAATGTATTATTACTATTACTAACAATAAACAGTGTAAACTTTCTACTGCAAAGTCAAATTGTGAAAAACAAAGTTCACAGTGTTAATCACGACTGCATATGTATTTACGATTTGAAACACTTTTGTACTATATTAAGTGTAGACTTTATGAAATGGAGGAAGAATTTAACTGACTCCGTACAAGAATCACACTACTGACTGTCGTTTACAATCTGCATACAACGTCCAGAATCCAAAAACAATATAAACTTTTGCAACACCATTGCATGCATACATGAAATGTATCTACGTAAGTAGGTAGAGCCAAGAGTTGTATATGTAACTAAAATTACTAAATAAAATAAAAATATGAATCGGTTCGATAAAAAATGAGACAAGAAATTATTAGTGCAGGTCCTTTTACTTCTATCCATGACACACCCATACCTATGCTAAAGACAAGAGACCATGTTTCAAGTTTGTCAATATTTTGATGCACCTCATGCCCAACCGTGATTGGTGAAAGTATTAATTCACAAGAGAAAGTAATTTCATTTTCATGGATCATAATAATTACCTACCTGAGAATTGTATTTTTCATAATTACTAAATTAAATCTAGAGTCATCTTTGCAGACTGCATCACGCCAATGTACTGCATTTAATACTACATTACATAGTCCAAAACCAGTTACTATATACGTAGATGTATAAGGTTTATGATAATGCGCAGTTTCTTCTTAATGCGTTTGTTTACAAATAATTCTCCAGTCCATCATGCGGTTAATAATGCTGTGTATTATAGCCATGTAAACTATAGTTCCATGTTAGTTGCCCAACATGGATGTCGGAGCATGGTTTACATGACCTTGTAGCTTCGAGTTCAAGATCATACAGTAATAAACTATCTCGGTCTCTGTGCAAGTCTGTATGTAGGCGCACATTAGATCCATGTTTTTAAGTATTATTGGTATTAAATTTATTATTGATAAAGTTAATTAGAATATGAGAATAACAACAAAAACCACGCTCTAGAATAAAAATATCAGTCGCCCAGTCTCCAGCTAATAATAATCCAATTTTAGTTTATTTTTATGCAATCAAGAGCGACTCAGCGACTCTAATGTCCCTCAGTGATCGGCTGGAAGAAGTTGCACTCACTTCTTGAGTACTCTTCTTAAACAAGAGTCCCTCAAATGTGGCCAAAATATCCATTCTGAATGGACGATCCTTGAGAGCATTAATGAATGCATAAAGATCAGCCAGGGTGTTGGAGTCCACCAATTGCTCCTTGCCAAACGGGAGGCGAAGTTGAGAATTTTCAATTCGTCCCTTAACTATTCGCAGGTGCAAATCAATGTTGGCTGCCCCATCTTGATTAGCTCTTCCAAGTCCAATTGGATAGCTTTGATCCACCGAGAAATCTGGAGTTTTCCCATAGTTCCATTCCCATCCTTTCAGATCGGATCGAATCTTTTCCAGACCTGGGAACCTAAATTATTTCATAACCCGATAAAAACACTCTTGCTTGTGTTCGAAATTTGGACTGGATATGCAATAATATGTAAACGAACCATTCATTGGTAGGATTCACCATTTGAAATCCTCTCTGGTGTTGGATCTGCTTTTCACCTCCGTCATTGCCAGTGCTGTCTGATCGTAAAAATTCGTAGCCAACTGAGGAAAGGACTTTGTCCACACTGATGGTAGGGTCTTGACTTTTCAAGTTCTTTACTGGAGATTTGATACTTTTCGTAGCCTTGGACTCGATTTTCTCATCCTGCCCACGAACCAAATCAATACAATTAGGATTTGAGGAAAACATGACGTTTACATATTATCTGTGTCATCGTGTAGCTCTTACCACGTCTGGATTCAGCAAAGCCGACAGCTTTTTAATATCTGCATCAACAAGCAAAGTGCAGTGATGGTATGCATTTTTCCCCAGCTTTGCAGCAGTTCCGGAAATCTGTAACATAATATAATTTGGCATATTATAGTATAGGGCATGTAGTATGAATGGCCAACTGGTCAACTGATAAAAATAAATAAATCAGGCTGGAAAAAATTCTGGATAAAAACTCTCAAGTTTTGTCATTTTTCATGAGGACAAGAAAGCTACATGAAAGGTATAAAACCCTACACTGCAGTGTTGCTCTAGCCCAAATCAGAGAAAGCGCCCGCTTCTAAATAAATTTTTATCAGAAATCCCAACTACTAGTAAAAACTACTATTTGAAATCGTCAAAAATGTTCCCATAATCCAACATGCAAAGTTTCAGCTTTTTCGACCAACTTCAAAAACCATTATGGGTCACCCTACTATGTTCCTCTCACAAATAAATTTGACCATATAATCTTTAGTCAGTTTAGTCTGATGTGCCCTTGCCTTGACACCGAATTTCGTTTTTCTCCTACCAATTTCAAAAAGCAGTGGGAGTTATCCTAGCAAAAATAAAATGCACTTCATATTTGTTAATCTGATCTACCCCTGCAGCTTTACGCCAAATTTCAAGCTTTTTTGATCATTCCGAATATTCTACCACTGACCGATTGCTTATCTTCGAACTTAACTCCTCATTTGCCCCACACTGCATGTGTACCAAATTTCAAGCCGATAGTACGAGTTTAACGAGAGTTATCGCGAGACAGACGGATATGATGGTTCCACAAGCCTTGACTCGGGCTAAAAATTCTACTGATAGCTTTTGTCCCTTCTGGAACATTATTGCTTTTGGGAAACGTTTCAAGAATGTTAACTGGGAAATTTTCTAAAGTAAAAATTGATTTAGCCTTTTGTCACCTTATAGCCCTGGACATTGACATCTAGCCTGGGTGACACGTCCGCGTCGATATCAAATTGTCGCTTCAATGCTCGACATATAATCTCCAGATTGGATTTCCGATCATAACCATCCCGAGGAGTGAAAAATGTGCAGTTCAGATTTCCTTGAATATGAAAAAAACATCATCATGTATCTGTTGTATAAAAAATAAATACTTTCTTACTCTTACCTTGATCATGATATACACATCCGCCGCCCGAATTTCTACGCACAACGGGCAGCTTGGCTTCCTCTGCTAATGACACGTCGACCTCGGTCCAAGGATTTTGATGTCGACCGATTACCACACAGGGATCATTTCTCCACAGGAGGAGAACTCGGTGGTTTTCGAAATTGAAGTTGCGATAAATCCAGTCCTCCAAAGCCAAATTCGTGTGAATGTCGGTGGATTGCGAAATAAAGACGGATTTTTCAGGTTCTTTATTGTCCGATGCTGTTCTTGTTGTCGCATAAAACCGGTTCGTGCCGATTATAGCAAATCCATGCCACACACGAGAAGAGGTTGCACTTCCAGCAGCAGACGCCAAACCAGATCCGTTCCCGAGAAGGATGGAACCCGATGCTTTTAAAGGGGCTCCAACTCCACGGAACGTACCTACGACTTTCCCTAAGACAGCTTGCATTTTGATGTTGATTTTCTTTTACTAATTAAACAGCCCTGTTGATTGGTCGAGTTTGAGATTGTTTTTTTTGTTGAAAAATAATAGTGGATGACTTGGGTATCACCGGTAAAGTTGGTTTTAATTGTTACTAGATATGCGAATTTGTTATCACTTTTAATTTTGTAATAATTTACTAATAAGAACTACTAATTTGTTTATAAGATCACTAATTGGCTTAATAGATCTCACAAGCGTCCGATGGTGTTAAGAATACGAGATAGCTATGAAGGGCTACCGTGAGGTGTAACCACTTAAAAGTGTGATGAAGAATACAAAGGCGAACACGAATTTTAACACAATCAACAAAGGCTGAACGCTGGGACCACGGGTTTATATCATTCATTTATAAGGATGAGGCACTCAAGTCTAGAGATTAGAATATAACTGGACAAATATTTCACGGTGACGAGAAGATTTCGGAATTCAGCAAAGCCAAGAAGAAGAATCCTTGGATTTTCATATCAATATGTATGTAGGGCAGGCGCAAACAAAGGATCTGCTCTCCCGTATCTCACTCAACACACGCCTTACGTGATGAAGGAAGACTGTGGAAAATAACAATATTAATACAATGAAAAGAGGGATGTAGAAGCAAAAAGCCTTCGGGCAATGGAAAGTTTTTAGTGAACCTTTGGAAATAATATTTACCCCCAAGCAAAAAACCAGAGTGATACTGTTTTATATGCAATTTGATTCTAAGAATCAGAAAATTGTAAAATACGGTTTTAAATTGCTAAGATTGCGGGAATACACCATGCACGATTTCATAAAATGATCTCAATAACTAACCTATTGAGTTAAACGCCCTGTGTGCTTTTGCACAAATCCAAATCCTGTATTAAAATGTAAGGAATTATAATTTTGGACTTTGGACTATAACTTCGACTTGTTCGTATTTGCAATATAGTGGTGAGTAGAGAGTGAGTTGAAAGGCTGAAGCAACACTGCAAAAATTGCTCTAATCGTCTCACAGTTTTATGACTTTGTCGTCTTATGGGGCAGAAGCAATAGCAATGAATCAGATTTTGTATGGTATGGCATCACATAAGTACAATTACAATATTATGTAGCATTGCATGTATGTATTAATGGTGGTGATAAGACCTGCTTGTGCTTCTTATGTTGGACTTTGAACAGCTTCTTGATATTGCTGCAAAGTAAGTCCTAAAAAATCCCAAAATGCAATGCTAAAGTCAACAACTTTACTTTTGACCTACCTGTTGTATGCTAAATTAGATTGTTACATTCTCGCAAAACAGGGTTTCTTAACTGTTGGAAAAATTTACAGCTAAATTGAAATAAATATTCCCTATTCGAAGCACTGTGCCTGTGTACGTGTCTCACTTGATATTTTTCCTTCAGCTAGGTCGACGATGATGCTTGTCACACGAGCTGAACTTACGAAGGTTATCGGAGCCAAAGGATGCTGATGAACCTTTCTCAAACTTTGCAAAAAGATATTACCTTCATGACTTGTGATGCTAATGTTTGACTGCCAGCAAAAACTGCACAAATATTTTGCGGATATTTTACTTTATTTTATTGATGAGTTTAATGATAAATCTTTTGATGGCATGGCATGTGACAAATTCAGATCACCAAAAGACCTCGTGTTTTTAGCAAAGCATTATTACTTACGTGATAAACTGGGCAATGACAACAACCACACACCGAGAACTGGTCTTTCTGAATGATAAAGCAACTCTGTGGATACAGCACAATATTTATTTATGCAGGGTTTGCTTCTTTTAGCAGGAATGTTTCCAGAATGTTTTCAACTCTGGCTCAGCAACTTATTTTATGAATCCAGTCTGGTCAACTACAAGCGACTAAAATCCAAGGTAATGCGGTAATCATCCACATTTACTGACTGGCCTAACAACAAACTGCATGCTATAATCATCGCATATCCAAATCCAACTCTGAATTCATATAGCATCGAGTCTCACAAAATCTGTAGTTGCAGATGTATGTATACCAACACAATCATCTAAGCAACCTTTTTTCCTATTTAGTTGTTAGACGAGGAACAGATTCGAAAGTGTAGGCACTGTGTTTGTTGTTTAATAAGGTTATAGGGTTTGCAGGGTGGATTGTACATACGCCCATAGTACAGCTTTGCCTGTCTGTAATGCCAACAAGAAATTTTTTATTCAACATCGCATCTGTCTGTGAGAACTGTAAATCTAACGAACACGCCGCCAGCACGTGAACAGGTCGTGGTTGATATTCCACATTGATGAACATTTCCTCCTCAGGAAGGCTTCATACGTTTATAACCACTTTTGGTTCGTATGTGAATGCTTTGTATGACTGACTGCAAGGATAAATTACGCGTTTTTTGCAATAAAGTGAACTGCAGGCGAAATGCATGCACTGTATGTTTTATATTTATACAATATACATAAGGACTGAATAATTATTGACCTGCAAGTATGATGCTTTACTGACTGTGAGTCTGTAGATTGACTGTTTTTAAATATGCTATACAAATTGGACTCAATAGTACATAAAAAGTACACAAATGCATGAAATGAAATGCCAAAATTTAACCAGACAACTGACATTTACATAATGCAATCTCCATTAAACTGGATGCATTTAGTCCAGTAGGCTGCTATTGGCACATAATGCAAATAAAGCTACATTTTACACGTATTTGGTTAAATTTCGAGAACCTTTAAAAATATAAAAAATCAGGCCACGTATGATATTCTTTTGCCTCTAGACAAAGAAAGAATATCAGAAGTTAATAATTTACCGTTAACTTTTGATTAAATATAATACACAAGAAGCATTACTGTAGTCAATTAAACTTCTTCATTTGTGAATAAAAGAGAATTGTAATTTCTTCATTGAAATAAATGGTAATACCAAGAAAATGCCGTGTATCATGTATGCAATTCTACGCAAATTGCGATTGCATGCAATTGACATTCAGAATTTCTGTTCACCGTCATTGGTTCAAACAACCAATAACTTGAGTTTGATGGAATGATGCATTCATCCAATATCATAGTACAACACTTTATAATATCAAAATAAGAGGTGAAAGCAACATATCCTTAAAAACAACCCCGCGGCACCCGTCCAAACCATGAATTACAACAGCATAATTCACTAGAATTACTTCAACCAGCATCACCACATTTAAATAGCACAGAGAGCAACACCTGTATCCCAAATTAGTTGTTGCAACATCATGGTGAAAGTAAAATATCATTTAAAATAAATCTAGCTGACCTTAATTAAGTCGAGTTCGGCCAATCCAGACCTTCTAATCGTCACCAATAATGACGGAATGGTGCATCCTTTATTACGAAAATTGTTGCACAATCCAATTTCCGACAAATAACATTTTACTGGCTGCTTTTACTCACTTTCACCACACCCATAAAAGTTCACTTTTTTATGGTTCCCACACTTCAAATATTTTAATTATTAGTTAATGCGTCCACCAGTTGGCTGCAAACCTATGACAAATTCCACTCCTCCCACTTTCCACTTTTTAAACCTAGAAACTAAAAACCGGTTCCTTCAGCTGTTTGAAGTGGGTTGTGGGACAGTGAAAGCAGAGAAAGGTTTCCGTTGGCGCTGCGGTTTGCCAAAATCTCAAGCATCGAGTTGATGACGTCACAACGATACGACCGCTCATTTTGCTTCACAAAAATCTGTCCTTCTGCTACTTTCACATCAACAACAAACGTTGCTCGTCGTTCTTGTATTTTTACTCAAAGTAAAATTTCGAAAATATTCCATAAAATATTCCACACCTTCTGAGTGACCAGTAAACCTAGTTTCGCACCTAGATTGCTTTCGCGTTCGCATAAATATAAGCCACCAAGATGGGGAAGGGATTTAATAATTACATGTGCAAAAAGTTCTTCCATCCAGCATCCAGAGATAATTTGAAAAGGGTGTGGATGGCGGAGCAGAAGGCGGACGCTTATAAAAAGAAGCAAGAGGAACTCCGACTCCAGTATGAGAAAGAACAGGATCTCTATAATAATAAGTAAGTAAGAACATAATTTATCAGGGTTTCGATTTGATAAAAACGAGAGAATATGTGTGGTTCGTATTTTTTGGAGTAATAACTAACTCTTCTTTGTGACATTTTTATCAGGGCGATGATAAGCAAAGAGAGCAAGGACAAGCTGAGTGTCAACTTTATGTACGAACCACCCCCTGGAATGAAACGAGAAAAGGATAAAACTGGACCTGGGGGCGAACCAGAATTCAAGTTTGAGTGGCAGAGGAAATATAATGCACCGAGAGAAGAGTAAGTTTTAAATTAGTATTAATATTTTATGTTTTATTCATGTTACTAGTAGTATAGCACGATTGAACAAATCTGACTTTAGCTACTGCAAAGGAAATGAAGAGATTCGTGACCAACCGTTTGGTATTCAAGTAAGACATGTGAGATGTATCCGGTGTCACAAGTGGGGACATATTAATACAGGTACTATGTTCAAACTAAAATTATTATAAGAATTGTGTTCTAATAAATGTGTTTTTTTAGACCGAGAATGTCCCATGAGAGGCCAGGCTAATGGTGCAGATGGCTTGGAGACGGATCCACTGTTTCTCATGCACCAGTTGAGGGAGGAAGGTCTAGCCATCAAATCAAGTGCTTTGGGTGTACGACAGAATGAGCCAGGAACAAATCAGGAACTTTTGGAGGATTCTGATGGTGAACTGCCAGGCCCAAGCAGAAAAGACAGACACAACGACGATGAAATGAATGGAGACCAAGGTCTTAGTTTGAACCCAGAAGAAGCATTCCTACAAAAGCTTTCAACAAAACAAAAACGGAAGCTCTTAAGGTTAACAGTTATTTAAATACTACTACCAGTGCTTGCATATGGATTTTTTATAGTTCTAAACTTAATACTTGTTTACTTATTTTAGGAAACTAGAAAAGATGAGCAAGGAAAGAAGCAAGAAGAAGATGTCCTCAAAAGATAAGGAGAAAGAAAAGAAACATAAAAAATCCAAGAAACAGTCTAGAGATAAAGATAGAAGCGAAAAAAGAAGAAGCAGCAATTCTTCTGATTCACCTGATGAAGATCGCAAGCGAAAGCACAGGAAGTAACCAAATAATCGTCCTTCATTGTTAATGAATTAAGCTTTAGGTTATCCGTTCGTAAACCTATACATGTATAACGTAGCCGAATTTCATCGTGGATTCTAGTATATCTGCCTAGTTCTCTGATCCTGTCATTTAATTTTACACAAGTCCAACCCACTTAAAAGGTTCATATATCCGTAAGGTAGTTTTATCCCTACTACTGAAAACCTCTGTATAACCTTTGTACTTCAGACCGCTCTGATCGCAATGATTAAATGATGTTTACTTAATATTATTTTTCCATGTAAGTAATTTGAATGAGAAATAAAGCATTACATGTTGAAAACATGTTCAAGCCAAAATTTCATGAATCATCAGTCTATTGTGTTAAATGAGTGACATTACAAATTCTATTATTATAAGTACTATAAAGTTTCAACCTATGAATTCCTCCTGATAACTTAATTTGAATGAGTGTACGCATAATTTTTGCCTATCGAATAACCCTGATACATTTGGACGAGTCGTCACTACAATACTTTTATACTTACAGTTACATTAGAGGTATTTCTACTATGTCGTGGTCCACCACTCTACGTAATTGTGTAGTGACCCGATTAAACTGCACATTGTCGGATTAGATCAGTCTTGGTAATGTGCATCTTGGTAACCTGACACAATCGGAATAAAGATACAAGACTTCTCAAATGTCAGTGATTTAATGTGCGTATGTAATTTGATATCGAAATTTGATACCTATTCTCCGTCAATCTTCGTTCCAGACTTTTGAGGTAAACATTTCAATTTACCCAATTGACATCATTTCATTGTGCATGTTCATGAATTAGTTGGTGAGAATTACTTCTCGTTCTGTCTCACTCATTATGATTTCTCAGCGTCTTGATTTCGCGTCACTTGGATCTATTATTCAATCATGAGCTGAAGGCATTGTGTGCACTATCAAGCCTTGAAAATGCTAGACACCATTTTGAAAAGGAAAAGTTGGGAGCTTTCTCCGGGTGAGACCAAGCCCATCACTCCAAAAATGTACTTTGGATTTTTCCTGAAAAACGGTTGGACACTTCTGCTGTCAGTGGGAGTGCCCATCTTGCTGATCGTTGTTCCACTGTGTCTCGAGGGTCACACCGGCAAGGTTTGCATTAAAAGTAGCATCGGTTTTTAAGGACTTGTGTAGTTCTCTATACTTCCCTTTCAGGAACCATATGCAGCCTACGTTATCATTCTCATGGCAAGTGGATTCTGGGTTTCCAAACTTTTCGTACTCTTCTGTAAAAGTACTACTAATGGTAATTTTTGGTTTATAGGCCATTTACTGGTGCACTGAATGCATTCGTAAGTCAAGAAATATATTACTAAACCCATGGCTATTCGATGCGTCCTGTATGTAACTATTTATTTTGAAAATAAATATTGTCGCAGCGCTTCCAGTTACGGCCTTTTTGCCAGTCATTCTCTACCCAGCGTTTGGTATCAGCGATACAGGTGCCTACACCTAATTAATATATATGTATTAAATTATTATTCACATATTTGCATAAATAACTATACTCCATATAGATAAAGTGACATCTGCATATTTTTCGGACTCGATCATGGTAGTCTCGATATCTTTTATCTTTATAACGAAGCATAACATGTCCAAGTAATTCGCGTTGCCCTCATCGTTTCAGTTTCTCTTTGGAGGCTGTGTTCTGGCGTTGTCATTCGAGGTATTGATTACCGACATCTTATAGGCCATTGCACTTTTCCATTAAATGTAAAACAATTGATACTATTTTTCTAGTACACAAATCTACATTCTCGAATTGCTTTACACGTTATCATGTTCGTGGGAGCTAAACTTCCTCAGTGAGTTAATTAACTTACACAGAACCTAAATTTTAAAATCTTGTTTTACGTATGATCTAAGGCCGGGGTCCTTTTTTGCTTAGGTTAATGCTTGGAATTATGGGGACAACGGCATTCTTGTCAATGTGTAAATATGTACACTATGAGCTATATTTAAACGATTATATTTGTACTTGATTAATTACGTATTAATTGATATTTAAGGGATGAACAATACGAGCACTACAGCAATGATGGCTAGTACAAATTATCTGATATTGTGCTATTAAATACGACTGTCATCAATTTCACATTTGTGCATAATTTAAATATTATACTAGGTCCCTATTGTGGATGCAATAATTACCGAATTAAAAAAGGTATCAACATTTGCAAAACGATCAACATACATAAATATTCACAAACTATTTTTAAAAAACTCAGAAAATGCTAGAAGTGCATACGGAAGATGCTCCGACGCCAACGAGCGATGCAGTTCTGCCCGCTACTGAACAACAACCCCACACAGTAAAAGCTGAGGACCCTTCAAAGAAACCTGACAAAGATGAAAAATTGCGAAAAATAAATAAGCGTATTCATAATATTAAAACAATGTTTTTGTTGGCCACAGCATATTCAAGCAATATTGGGTAAGATTCAAGTTGCATACCAGTAATTTCATATCTGTAAAGAAACACTTGTGTATGCATACACCATTGTTACAGGGGGACGGGCGTTAGTAAGTTTCGAACCCTACCAAAAAATACAAATATTACTTACAGTATGCAACAGTATGCAACCACATTTGTATGAATTGTAAAATTGTGTAAATGCAGTTACGGGAAGTGGAACCAACGTTATTGTGTTGGACTTGGTACGCAAAGACGCGTGAGTGAAAGTATATTATGTATTTTTTATGTAGTATACAAAAGTGTACAAATTCACTCCATATCTAATAATATGAAGATAACTAGAATTATTGATTGATAGGGACGAAGAATTAGCCTCCCTGGAATGCAAAAAGATGCTAGAGATAAGCTTCTTGGGTTTGACTTTTAACCTTCAAATTGTGTTGTGGTTTACCACTATTGTACTATTGGATGATGATATGTAAATATGAATTCAGATTGGATGCTGTTCAACATTCCGCCGATGTTAATAAATATAATCCTGTGTTGGATCTACCTTCAAATTCACTTTCTTGGAATTCCTCAGTTTCTGAAATTCTGGGAAAAGAAGACTGAAGAGCAGATGGAGATTGAAGCAATGAACAGCAAGTTTGAAAAAAGCGTCGAGACCACAATGAAACGACAGTATCAGGAGTTGGGCCCCATTCGTTTCAACGAGTTGGGAGTTCTAGTGTTATTTAGCATCATGGTTGTCTTGTGGGTATTTAAGGACCCCCAGTTCATTCCCGGTAACATATGCGCATATTTATATTTTTAACACTAGAATTTCCGAAATATATCTGTAAACAATACGGAATACACCGTATAGAACGGAGGAATTACCCATACGTTCGGCATCTTAACGTTTTTGTATTCAAGAATAACATAAATTTTTTTCCACTTTTCCTAGGCTGGGACGCACTACCATTTTTTGATAGAACTCCAAGCGGAAAAAGTCTCATCAAAGAGTGCACCTCAACGTAATACTTTTACTACTTATGTAATAAGTTCTATCCGATTTCCCTCCAGAATGTTTGTTTGTCAATATGCCTATTTTGCTAATTTTAGGTTACTAATTTGTTTCATCATGTTCGTAACGCCAGGCCGTGCTATTTATTACAAAACGATTGGATCAGGAGGTAAATGTATTTTTTTTAAATATCTGACCCGTAATTTATATTGTATTTATATTTAGGCCTTGGTGAAGGTGTGAAGGATCCTTTACTCTCATTTGATTTCATCATGAGAAAATTTCCGTGGGGAATATTCATACTTTTAGGTTCGGCTTATTCGCCTTGTTGGAGTTGTTACTTTATTACAGTTACACACATTTGGATGCCTAATAATATTTTTTAGGCGGAGGCAGTGCGATGGCGTTGGGAGCCAAGGAGTCGGGACTGAATAAATGGGTAGATATCAAATCCATGCAAATCACACCAAGCAAAAGTCTTTACATTATTTACAGGTTGAAGAATTTCTGGAGACCAATGAAACGCTGAAGACGCTCCCGGGTCCAGTAATTTTGGGAATTGTGTTGATATTCATTGCAACTTTAACTTCCGTGGCTTCCAACACTGGTAAATATGATTATTGGGCTATGATTCAGACCTTTCGAGTCTTTCGTTTTGAAAATTATTTCATGGATTATTTTAGCAACTGCCGCAATCGTTACTCCAGTTTTGCTCGGATTGGTTTGTTACAACGCAATATTAGTAATATCATATTTATTAGGATAAGTGCAATGCTTGTGTGATATTTCAGTCCTATGTGAAGAATATGCACCCATTGTACATGGTTTATGCTGCATCAACAGGTTACATTACAATCAATAATGTGCCATCATTTTAAAATCGCTTAAATTTTAGCCCGAGTTAGGGCTTATGGAACCGTCACGTCCGTCCGTCTGTCTGTCTGTAACACGCTAACAAACGAACCACTGAATTCATTTTGACCAAGTTGAAGTTAGTATTAAATAAAATGCTTATATCGACAAGGCATTAGCCAATATCCAGCTGAAAGCTGAGAGTGCAAGTGTATCTCAGATTTACGAATATGAAGGTAATTTTTAGAAATTTTGTAGCAAGAGGTCCAAGGGTGACCCACACTACGTTTTGAAATTGTTCTTAAGAGCTGAAATTTGTCATGCTGGATAATGATGACAATTGATGATACTTAAGAATATTATGTCAGTTTAAACTTGCGCTGAGAAAACTATAAGATAGATATAGTGGATGTGATTGAATTTTGCATTACAATTTGGCAATAGTCGTTGGGTCATCGGACACAAATTTAAAATAGGACTCTGATCCTAACTCGGGCTAAATGAAGTCTACACTGTAGGGTTTTGAAACTAAATTGGTAAATTAATTTTTGCAGCATGTTCATACGCGTTCGTTCTCCCTGGTGGGTAGATAATTTCAAGTTGCTACGATTAAATTATTATATACGAGATTAAACGAATACTAGTTGTAAAAACGCTTTGTTCCCTATTTCGCAGTGAGTACACCACCCAATGCTATTGTATATAGTTCCAGTGATCTAAAGTTGGCAGAAATGATGAAGTAAGGAGCATAGAGATCCCGTACTATATAGTGGATGGAGAACTTTGACCTAAAAATGGTCAAAAAATGATTCTAGAAATCTCAAATTTTGAGATAATATCCTAAATATATCCAGCCACAGATATTCGCGAACAAAGAAGACTGAAGTCCATTGTCCATCTAGTATTTAACCTTTTTCTTCACGCCCGCGATTACTGCTTTTTCGGAAGACTTTGCAACTTAAAGGGTAATTATCTCCTACCTGAATTGAAATTTTCTTAAAGTTTCGGCTGTTTCACAAAGCTGGGAGTATGTCTTCTTATATATAGCCCAAATTTTTTTATTGCATGAAGATAAGGGTTGAATGTGAGGTTTTCATTTTTCAGCGTCAAACTGAATTTTTTTAAAATTTCTTCCTTGATAGTCATTGAATTATGGATTGGTCCAAGGTCGGTCCAAAAAATTACATTTTATATTTTCTGATACTCATTAATGAAAGGAATCAGACGGTCTATCTCACATTTCCGAAATCAAACCTGTGCCTACACACAGCCCTTTTGAACCGAGTGGTCCGAAACATGCCCAAATTTACCCAACGCCTGCCAAACCTGAAATTTCTTGAGAAATTTCGAAAAAAATTTTAGTTTCTTTTCGGTTCTCAGTTGAGCGATATATTTCCCACAAAAAAATTGCCTTCCCGGAGTTTCTATCACGCTTTTGAAGACGTGAGACTCGTCGCCAATGACCAACTGTTTTGGTGAAATTATGTTGTAAAGCTTGAGAGGGCTTGGGTTCACCATTTTTTCTTGACCTTCCGTATGCTTTGGTGCAGATTTCTTTGAATAAACTTTGACCCACAACTTATGAGCCTTCATATGATGCGCATAGTCTGGATTAATCTTCCACTTCATGGCCACATCAGGCACAAACGTGGAGCGGTGCTTTCCAAAAATAAATTTAATCGTTTTTAATTTTCAAGGGGTCAATATGATGGTTTTTTCTTGTGGTGCGTATTTGAAGTTGATATTTTCGGATTTGCCATACTTTTTTATGTATGTCCAAATTTTTGCATGACCACACCTCTTTCCGTTGAAATGTAGTCAAGCGTTCTTTGAGTCTCTGCCGCTCAGATTTTGGTACTTATAAAAAACTCGTTTCCCGACTTCCTCTCTTTGAATTGGCGTAGGAAATTTATGTGTCAATGAAAACTTATGAAATTTTGAGGACACGTGCTCAGATATATTTCACATATTATACCAAAATTTCAGATTTCTAGAATCATTTTTTGACCATTTTTAGGTCAAAGTTCTCCACTATATAGTACGGGGATCTCTAATTCATTTGATTTTAGTTTACAGCTAATTGATCAAACTATTTGTAGGCCTGGATTCCTGATTAACATTATTTGTCTGGTAATTTTGTTTGTGACCACGCACACTACTTCGTGGTGGATATTTGGATTTGGGGATTACAACGGAGAGTGTAGCAGTATGGCAACGTTGTCAGAGGCGCCCGCAGGTCATCACTAACCAATAAACCCTAGCATATTGCGACGATTTTGCCAAGTGCGTTATCTTCTAAATATGCAATTAGCTTTGAAGAAACGAATCATGTAGTTAAAAAATGTCACCAATCAAGTATTCCGTGGCGACATAAATTTATATATTTGAATAAAATTAACATTACCAGTAAAATAATTTGTGAAACGTTAACTTCATCCTCAACCGCACACACTTAATCAACGCTAATCGTCTCTAAACTTAATTACCAGACCACAGTGTGGTTTAGTTTCAATGGGACCTGGCCTGAAAGCCGGGTTCATCTGGAAAAAATGTTGGCGACCGTTTTTTACACTGATGTTTCCGCTGGTACTCTCTGTCATCTTCCTCTGGAAGGGGAAGAAATTGACCCCCGATATGGATCAAACAGAAGTTGGGATAAAACAACTGAAGAAGCAAGCTCGAGCTGCGTTTGTCGTGATTCTGATGGCCTGCTACTGGTAACCTCTTTATTATCATTGTGACTGTCAATTGTTGCCACCAACGCTGTCCGACATATATACGCACATTGTACATAGATTATTATTGTTAAATAATCCCAACTTATCCTTAGGGTGAGCGAGTGCCTGCCCCTGCCTGCAACTGCCTTATGCCCTGTTTTCCTGCTGCCTCTTATGGGAATCGTGGATACTGGTAATCTGAAAATTATTCCCAGATTCTCCATGCATTTTCTATTCGCTTATCTTATAATTAATTTCTAATAATTTGTGTCGTAGATGAAGTGGCCGGGTGTTACTTAAATTCATCTGTCATGGTAGCGTGAACTAATATGTTACACACTATATTAGCGTCAACTAGTTCGATTTTAACAATAGATTAATTATTGACAGGTTCTGTTGGCTGGATGCATCATAGCACAGGCATTCGAGTAATTACAGTTAACTGATTTTAATCTCAAAAAGTAAATCGAAATATTCGAATTTTAGGTACTCAAATCTGCACACTCGCATAGCATTGAAGGTGGCTTGCTTAGTTGGAGCCAAAGTACCAATGCTGCTTGCAGGTCTGTCTCTGACTTGTCAATTGTCATATTTGATACCTAAATGCATAATATTGTTCTTTGTAGGAGTCATGTTTACTGCAATGTTTTTATCGGTGGGTATAGACATGCTTACCGTAGATAATGTATGTAAAAATGTTTTCTTATAAATCTAATTTGCCCCTTTTAGATGTGGATGAACAACACGAGTACTACATCGATGATGGTTAGTATGTAATAAAACTTTAAAACTTTTTTTGTAGACTAGGTTCTGAAAACCAAATTTTCCGATCAATAGAGAAAAAAGTAATTCGAGCGAGATTTGTCGGAAGACAAAGTGTTTCATTTAAACAATTAACATTCGAATGTTTAACAATATAAACTAGGTATCTATTCAATGTGCTCAGTCTGGTAAAATCATGGCCTCATTTTGAATAGAAAATTATGCTGTCGTATTATAAATTAATAGGTTCCTATTTTGAGTGTGATAATGGGCGAGTTCGAAGCGGGAGCAGTGGAGGCAGCAGCAGCAGCAGCGGATGCTGAAAGTTCTACAAGGCCTTCAACGATGTCAATAAACGCTCTCGAAATCAAAGCCCAAATGTACTGATTCATATTTCGCATCCTGGCTACCCACTGCTTTATAATATCAAAGACTGATTTTATAGGGAAGAAATCAAGAAGAAGAATTTGGCTAAAACGAGAAGAATAAAGATCATGTTTTTACTTGGGGCGGCGTGGGCGTCGAATATTGGGGGAACGGGAATTATTACCGGAACCGCAACCAACATAATAGCACAGGGTGCTGTTAGCAAGATGGTAGAACGGGTAAAAGCTTCCACGGGGTTCAAGGACGCTAAAAAGTGTGAACATGTACTTCAAATATCGTTCTTGGGATGGCTCGAGTTTAACATTGTGCCTATGCTTCTCGCCACCATTTTGACTTGGATTATTTTACTTGTGTGGTTTACTGGGATTCCACGCTGTTTTAAGTTCCGGGCGCTTACCCCTGTTGAACAAGTAGAAACGAAGGAACTGCAAAAAGTGACACGAAATGTTGAGAAAGCTATCCTTGCGAAATATAATCAATTGGGACAAATTACCTTGCATGAGATCCTAGTGCTGGTCATCTTTTCTATTCTGGTTATTTTGTGGATCACTGGAGAAATGGGAGAAGAAGGGTGGATGAAAGAGTTTAAGGAAATTGATAAGGCCTATGCAGAAGCCTCCATTCCAGCCGTACTCATGTGCCTGTTCCTGTTTGTGATACCCAAGGATTTGAAATATTACAAAAATTTTCTCAATGGAGGTTAGTGAAGAATAAATAAGAACTAAGGTTCAATAATTTGAATACTTTGTTCTCATCTAGGCTTGACTCACGGACTGAAAGACCCTGTTCTTCCATGGAGGTAAGTTTAGTCTGAAAAGGCTAATCGTCCGTAAGACTATTCTGCATATTTGAACATGTACAAAAATTATTGCAGAGAGGTTGAAAGAAATTTGCCTTGGGGTCCGCTGATATTGATTGGTAAACACAAATTATCAAAAGTTAATTTTTGTTGGTTTGTATTTTAACTGAAATGTATCGGAGGTGGTGGCATTGCCATAAGCGTGGCTATCAGAAAATCCACTCTTGGATCTGCCATAGGAAGGTATCTCCAGGAGTCGGAGGCACTGTCGAAGTTGCCAAAAGAAGCATATCTTGCTATAATTTTGATAACTGTGGCATTTCTTACTACAATTGCATCCAACACTGCAACAGCATCGATCCTTACCCCCGTTCTACTGGAATTGGTATTTATTCTTTACACATTTTTTTAGTCAGTGAAATATTGGAAATAATTAAGATATCCTTTTCTTGTCAATTTCCAGTCAACCAAAAAGGCTGTTCATCCTTTGTACTTGGTAATATCAGCCACAGTCTCAGGTCTGTTAAAATATTTGTTTGTAGTTAACATAGGGTGGTAGATTATACATATGTGCGTGTCTAATGTAGCCTCATACGCCTTCATTCTCCCAATTTCTACACCTCCGAACGCCATTGTATTTGATAAGTCGGACATGAAGCAAGGAGAGATGGCTTTGCCAGGAATAATTGTCACAATCGTAACCAACCTCGTTCTGTACGCTTCGATCCACACCTATTGCGAACTAATCTTTAAATTTAACGACTATGATGATTCCTGTGGACCGCAATAGTACTCATCATAAGAGATTTCTTTCTTCATCATGAGGGTAATCAAAACTCGATTTTCAAATTTCTGTGAAACACATTATTGTAGGCGACAACATCACTCGGCCATTTATTTCGAAAATATTTTCAATAAATGTTGAAACGTTGAACTGAAATTATTTACTTTCAATAAAAAATGCAACCGGATTCATTAAAAACCAAACTGAAACCTACCAATATAATTAACGTAATTAAAAGGTATTTGGTTAATTAAGAAATAACAATTAATTATATATCAGTTATATGTCATAAGTTGTAAATGGAAGAACACATATTTTTATATTCGTATATGCATTGCGGTTACGTACAACGTACCATGAATATGATAAATCTTGCTGCATGAGCTTGACAACGATGATCCATACGCAGAGATACACATTATTTACATGGAAAATGGAGGAACCAGTTTTAAAGTGAGTTCACTTTCAAACCAAAAATGATTCACAAAGAATGTAGAACGGATTTGATTTGCGTTCAATAGAACTCACTGCCAGCAGATAGATAACCTTAACTTACGCCCAGGCCCAAATACTGCATTTATTTGCATTAAAATCTGTGACTAAAACTGAATGACTGTCTCAAATCAAGTTTTATTAACTTTCCCTTCTGATCAAGACTGGTCTCGAATAATTGCTTGACGATATTCATTGACAAATCGAATCCATAATATGCATATACATATTTTTGTGACTTGTACGCACGTATGTAACACAATTGAGTTTAAATATGAAGGACTTAAATGGAAATGCAATCTAAGTATACTCTGAATGATAAATATATTCAATGTTAACTACATATACTCACAAACAAATATTACATATGATGTATTACTATTTTACAAATACTGACTTAATTTCGTCGCTTAATTCTTAATCTTTTAATGATCCTGCGATTGTCGAGTGTCACTATTAAGTCATTTATGTCCGCATGTCTCTACAACCAGACGGTTTATTCTTATCATCTTATCAGAATTATTTCGTCTTTGTCAATTTATAAGACCAATCAAGTAAAATATGCATTAATTATTTCAACCATTTTTATTTATCATATATTGAAACAGGCTTCGTGTCTAAAAGTGTCATAAACCTATTATAAATGATAGCATTAAAATTAACGAAACATTAACAATAATAATGGCTATGTTCACAGGAGATCAAGGTACACGACACAATCTGCAAGAAAAATTGTTGGCAAATATCAGAATTATGCATCCCACCTACTTAATTAATTGGTTTGAACTCTGCTTTAGACTTTGTTAAAACATTAACCTGCTGACCGATATTGCTCAGCCAAGTCTGTACAAACTTTGAAATATAGTTTTGTTACATTTCCAATTATCCGTGTAAAATAAATTAGATGTTGATTTATTTGTGACTTTGTGGAAGGGTATGCAATTTTCAAATACTAATCGGGTTAGCATATTTAAATTACGTATTTAGCTGGCTAAAACTATCTCAAATTAGTAGTAATTTAATTAATAGTAATTAATTAGTAGTAATTTAATTTGTCATTTTCATACGCTGGAATAACTCAGGTAAACTCAGCTAAGCTCATTTTTATTCTTAGCATTCATGCATGCATGCAAATATGTGGGGTGATTTAACAATTACTTATTTTGTTTCCACTTATTTAGCAAAAGCAGTGTGTACCATAAGGGTTTTTTGTTGGTCCTAAATTAAGTGACACATTGCCAGAAATAAATACTCATATCCCAAGTTATGACTAATAAAGCCCATCACAAATAAGTAAAATAGGACAGGGAACCTACTTCAACATTTCAAATTTCTCGTAATAGCACCTGACACTGAATTTCATCAAGGAATCGGACCCCCTATCGATTAAAGCATGTTTTATTTCACTGCGATTATTATACAAACATCAGAAATTCAATTACGTATGTCTAGATTTGAAATCAACTCCACAAAATATTTATTAAATTAACCGGTACATAGGAATCTATACAAACTATTTATTAATACGTTTAAATGGTAAAAATAGTAGGGATGCATGTGTAGGAATTGGCTATGTTGTGAACCAGTTAATATGACAGATATTTGCAAAAAATATGAATGCCACCGTCCGGACACGGAACCCGTTGATTTAGCCACAAGCGCCTATAAGAGTGCGAGTTCTTCATGCATTTTCTTCCACAACTGTTTGGCATTAAACTGCCCATTATCCTTAGATTCACAATTTTTTAAAGTAACTTTAACTGGTCGGGAAATTAAAAATATTTGAGGGAAGTATGTATGTGCATAGTAATATATGTACATACGGACGAGCATGAATTAGATGAAAGATTGTTGATTCTGTGTCATGCTTTCCCTGATCACACACCCCTTTTAATTATTTTCATGAATGTATGTGTAAAAATTTGCCAGCCTCATGAGTAAAAGTTATAACTCATCGTGAAACCATTAATTTGAGACATGCAGACTATTGTGGTTTTTAAATTGGAGGCAACTAGCAATTACGACTGTGTGGTCAGTTCAGTTTTTGTTCTAATTTTGATTGTGACAAGGTTTATTACCAGTTAATCTACGGTGTGGTTCAATAAATAATCGTCCTTGCTGAGATCACTTTCGTTTATTCCGCATTGATCCCTAGATTGAGGTACATACGCACAAATCAACACACTGCACAAACGCGTTGATCAGATTCCATTTCATTTTATTTTATAACAATCCAATCATATCACGGAATTTAAATCATTGATTTAAATTTTTTGGTTCAAAGTTTTCGTTGGAAAAACTCAGACTATGAGTACTTATTTCTCTATTATATATGCATTTGTTCCATTTAGAATTGGCATCAGTGTACATATGTACAGGCAGCATACGAATACGTAGAGAGTCACCCTACCTTTGACAACTTCCGTTTTATATCATAATTAACGCATCACGTCCAAAAAAGACACGTTTTGATAAAGAAGTAATTACATACGATAAAGATCTGCCAAAAAGTCGAAGGTTTGTAAGCACACGACCTTCTTTTTAACAAAAATGAAATGAAACATTCCGCGTCCCATTGAATTCAAGATTTAAATTCTAATCAATAAACCATATTCCGCCTTTTTGACAAAATATATTTGCATCAATGTGGACTATCCACATGAGATGAAGTACTAGACGAAGGTAGTAGGAAAGGAAGCTGTGGTGAATGTCGAACCAGTAAATTTAAGACGCTTGTCGCAGCTTTTACGAATAATGATGGCTAGTTTTCTAGAGAGGAAAGTGGTTTGACCCGATTGAGGTCCACCTAACCTTTGTCGAATAAAGGACCCAGAAGAAGCTGCTTCGTAACTATAAGCTCGGTTCAAGTAACTTCACTGTTGTCAATGTCAATGGCTTGCACGAAGTCCAACATCCATGGTCACCCCACATAATAATCTTAGAAGATGAAATGTGCTGCACCCATCACTTACTTACTTACCGACTTGTTGAGCTAAGCACAACTTTCATTCATTCACCGTTTTCAAGAATTAACGAAATCCTCATTGATTGATTTGAGCTACAAATTTTGCGAACATTTTCGGCTGAGGATATTAAATTACTTGCATCTTCGTTTTTTGTGAGCGAATGATGAAATGTGTGAGAATTATTTATTTATGAATAAGGATATAGTGTACTAATGTTCTATGAATAATTGTGTGAATAACACTGCAATACTAGCGTCGTCAAACATAAAAAGTATTAACATAAAAAGTTGTCCCCTTTGTAATTTTTGCAACAAACATAAAATCAACCGATATAAATATACATATATTTATAAAAATAAATACAGTTGAATTTATGATATTGACATTGTTATACGTTCGTTATTTTACTATGTTAATGGAAAAATTTTAAGTTTGCGTGGCCTTCATGTCATTATAAATACACATTTACAGTACTCAACTTACTGTGGCGGACCAATTTCATTGAACATTATTCATGACATGACAAGTAATTCTCAATTTCTCAGAATACCTACGTGGCAGTGCTCCCAACACAGTTTATTAGACAGGGACGAGAAAACACTAAACTAATTTGAGAATTACTCTCAATCTGTAGTTGACAATTATACGGTATCAATACTAATTTATGCTGATTCTTTTTCAAACGGCCGCATTTGTTAATTTATAGCACATTGCGATCCAAAAGGTGCTGTTGTTGTTGATAGCATATCCGTGCACACTGTGCTCAAAACAACTTTTGTTTTCCCTAAAACAACAACTTGCACTCTCTAAAGAACCAAGTCAAGTTTCGTTATTCGTGTTTTGACTCTATCCATCTGGTTTTCTTCACAATTCGCCAAGTTAACACGAGACATGATCAGGAAGCAAGTCCCAATCACCACAATGCAGAATATGCCGCAGCAATACAGCATACTGTACATACCCACAACAGACGCTGCATGAGAGACACAATACTAAATACGAGGATGAGAGGATGAGATACCTTGCTAAAAGGGAAGTCGCAGATGCACGAGATTGAGATTGAGCATGTTGCACAGGGCATTCGTGAGGCAGATGAGACGAAAAGGAGTCTCAACGCCACCCAATCTCTCAGAAAGAGCAAGCGTTTGTAGGAGGACGCATCAACACCGTCTGCTGCCCCCAATAATTCCGTTTGAATAGGAAATCAGTCCGTAAACGAAGAACACGGAGGACAGGCGTTCTTATTCTTCTCCTCCGATTACGAATTCCAATCTTGTGTGGAACACACGTTCAGTGATTACCTTCCTTCTTCTTCTTCTGCGAAGCAAGTAGTGGTGAGGTGACGTTTACTGTTTGAGTTTCGGATTTTGGTCCAGTGGTCGCTTCCCACTTTCTCCCGCAGCTAACTCTGCAAAAGATAAACTATTCGAGGAGCAGTACTGCACTGACTTGCGAGCATTTCAGAGGGTGCTAAAAAAGTTCTTCAAATTAAATCAACATACATTACATAAATAAATAACATTATCGAGTTTCTTCTCGAATTGGACCCTGGAAGAACCCCATTTGTCTCTCCTAACCTAACTAACGAACCGACGAAACGGTCCAAGTTTTGTCTTGGTTGGAATTCGACACCGCATTCGTATACGAAACACCAGGTTAGTTGGAATTTTGTTTTAAATTGCTTTACACCGAAACTTGACTTTTCACCGCTGTACAAGAAAAACTTTGCATGCCGCTTATATCTGCTCAGAATTATGTATATCCATCTGTTTAAGATACCTGCTTAGCTTAACGGCAGCCGCCTTCTTTTCATCAATTCCCTTCTAACCCAATCATGCACATATGTATATGTTCGTACATACATACGTGGGGCGCACATAAGCAGAAGTAGATGGTGGTGCTTTTAGCGCTGAGGACAAGTGTAATTTGTTCAGAATCGCTAAAATTTGTGGCTTACGCTTTACATTTTGGCAGACCCCACACACACACGAGGCGACTGCAGAGAGAGTGTGTAGCTTTCTCCCTCGAACCCTCTTGCAGTCAACCACCAAGAGTCGTGCCAATTCCAGCAAGTGGACTCACTCACACTTATTACATGTAAGCGGAATTTTGGACCAGGAGTCGCCGTAGTGAACGGCGGAAGTGGCAATATTCTCTCATTTGTCACTCGCTGTGACAGTTTCAATCAACTTTTCTCTTCGGCCTTTTCTCTGGAAAAGTCAAACGTCCCTTATGAAAGCCATATCTCACACCCCTCACCCACGCTCTTTCCACATATTTCCAACACCCAGAGCAGTGCACGAGGTGGATCCATACACATGCACACAGGCAAAATCATTCTACATTTGCCTTGCTTTCCACTCCTCTCTTCATGCTGGGCGCACACTTCCCAAGTGGTGTTGAGTAACGTAATTAGCAGGATGGCTTTCACTATTGCTTTGCAACTTTTATATTCATGAAAGGCCCTTTTAACAGGTTTCCTCTTAGATTTTGTGTTAGCGTAATTTTTTGTATTTTCTCAACACAAGGAACAAATCAGAGGTGGGAGCTAGACACCACATATGAATATACGGACAAACAGCATATACATAGTGAGTATATGGACATACATAACCACTAACTTTGTTTGGGAAAGTAAGCATTCACTTGAAAATGGCCTGACTGAAAGTGCTTTGATATTCAGTGAAGGAGAAAAATTTGTTCATAAGTACGACAATGGTAATTTCACTTACCTCAAAACCCTGATCCTACGACACTCACTCACTCCTCAGTCATGTAACCCTGATACATATGCGTATCTGGGTACGTGTCTAGCTGGCTGGCTAGAAAAGGTCTGATAGGAGTGGTTCGATTATTTTCGTCTTCATCCCTGCCTCTTGAACTGTGCTGTAGTGTTGGAGTAAAAGCCAAACTCATCGCTGGATGAGGAGAGCGAGGGCATATGTCTCGGTTAGAGCAGCCTCAATGGCTTGACGGTAAGTAAAAGTTGACAAAACAGAGACACACACAATGTTGAAAGGGAAACCACTTTCTTTCTCCGAGTCTCATAGTCCCCTCTTTTGCTTCGACACACAAGAATGGGCTGACTTTATACGTCTTAAGGCCGATGTATGTAGCTGCTTTCTTGCTGTTTGTTGTATGTGTGTGTGTGTGCATGAGGATCGGTACATAAATAGCGGCAGCCAAACCAAGCATTCCTGTCTATTCAATTTCATTCTCCATTTTTATGAACGCATTACATTTTATTGATCCAAAAACTCTAAAATTGGAGAGACCAAGTGAGCAGTGAAGACAACAGTTGGCGAAGACGCTGCTGTTAAGAAGCGGTTCTTTTTTGGCTACTTTGAAATCTAATCCAAAGCAGAAAAGTAAAGCCTACGAGGAGGAGGACCTATCTGCATTTAATTCGGAAAAGATTTTCAGATTTAGGATCCCATCTCGTCATCGTTTGTTCCACACGGAACTAAAAGGGAGGCTTTTGTTATCCCCTTCTTGCCATCTTATCTTATCCTCCTGCACAAAGGGAAGAACATGCACAGACGTATCCCACATATGCCCATGCACGCGTTAATAATGTTTTAGGACAGGATGTCTAGATCTGACATGAAGTTTTATGGATACAACCCTCTTCCTGCCTTTTAAATGGAACATATGTTTAACAAGATTTCGTATTTATATGTTGCTCCTCTCTCTCTCTGTGTGTGTATGGGTGGAGAAAGCAGAACTTACTTATGCAGTCCTACGCCTGCACTATAACTGTAAAACAGAGAGAGAATGGAGAAATGCTGAACATGGAACATTTTGGGGGAAGAATTAAATGGAAGGGATTTTTTTTTCGACCAGTCTCCTCTCGCAGCCAATTCGATCCGTGCAAGCAGTGGCAATCCAAGCAGGAGAAGAAGTGGCCTTTGACTTTCCAATTTTCTTCATGTAAAATTCTCTTTCAACAAATGTATTCTTAGTCCGTGGCCAGTCACTTACGTGTAAATACTTATGTAATGCCACCACTTGCTCAAAGTACACAGCTCCTTCTGCAGCCCGTGGGATGCGATGGTGTAATAAATAAGGAGAAAACTGCAGACTTGGTGGAGAGGGAGGGATGTCGATGTGTCCAAGTTTAAGTGGGCTCGACTTCACCACCACTACTGCTAAGTTAAAGTGCTCCGTTTTTTATTATGAACTGACTCGTGGGCTAGGTTTTGTAGATATAACACGATGTAGTAAGCACACATATAACGATATTGAGTGTACGACCAAATTCTAAATTAAATTCTGCCTTTCGTTTTCCATTTCAAGTTTCGGGCAGGCTGTGGAATGGTAGAATTTATCATGGGATACAACACGGATAGGTCAAGTTGGTTGGACTTTTGGTGAAAGCGGATCGTCTTTAAGTTTGGTCCTCTTCTGTAATTCAGTGCAGTTCACTGGTTTTCGTAGAGAGTGTTGTCCTGTCGCCGTCGTGGTGGGGTGAAAGAGGGTGGTGGTGATATATTCAAGTATGTGGTGCATGGTGTTAATGGGTGGCTGGCTCTTGGCCATTCCAAATCCTCTTCATCCGTAGTCTGTGGTTCTCACTTGGAAATTGGTCTAAAGTATTTTTAGCTGAGCAAAGTAAAAGTGACGGTAATGTTCCACCACACACTTGCAGTAGAAACTAATGTATTGGAGCCAAGGAAGTGGCAGAGTCATGAGAAATGACCCTCTCAACTTTATTAATTTAAGCGGAATTCTGTATTCAATAGTAAAATAACTCAACATGATTACAGCTTTTGTGGTGACGACTACTGGGCCAACTTTCCCTTTCTCGTCTAGTCTGGCTGGTCGAGTAGAGAGACTTGCCGTTTCTTGCTACACACCACAAAGTAATACTTGCACAAATAAATTATTTTCAAGCTTAAGTAAGTTGTTTGTGTGTAGTAGAGCCAAGGAGAAATTGCGGTTGGAAATTTTGGTTCAGGAATTTGAGTTTCTGCTCTGCGTCGTTTCATGCTTGTCTTGTGTACACGATGTAGTTCTAATTTGAGCTGAGGATTTGAGATCCAATTGGTGAAGATGCTGCTGTAGCTGCAGGGTAGCGACGAACAATGTATAAACAAGCATTGAATCCGTCTCAGATCTCGTAATAAAATTAGGTGTTTGTTTTATCAGTGATTTATATGCAAATTAGAGTGGACAGGCCATTTATGGGTTACTCAATTTTAATTTTGTCTTCCTTTCTCTATCCATTTCTCGAGAGGGAGGGAGAGAGAGAGATGGGAAAATGGGATAAAGGGTCGGAGGAAATCTTCCTTTTTCATCACGCATCTCTTATCGCTGTTCATGTTGTTATCGCCAAAGTGAGCTAAAGTTAAGTTGGCACTAATCCTTTTCAAAGTGATAAAATAATCGAGTCTCGGCATTATTTCCTGCACTATTTGGACATTTGAGGATCCCTCGGCACAGACATTTCTCTTATTCATGCAGAGATTAAAAAGTTGCTGCTCTTCTGAAAATAAAGCTGACTGAGGCTTGCTTGCTACTACTCCTCCTCTGTAGTAGCAGCTTGAGGAACTCATTTAAAGTTGAAATTACACAATAAATTTGGACGTTGAAATGGGATGTGAGCAGAAAGGGCTTTCTTGCCATCCTCGTCTTCAGAAACCTCTTCTCCTCGTCTTCAGCATGTGTAATTGCTTGAGTGAGTATGGCTCTGAGATCCGTTTCAAGCATGAAAATATTTAAGAGAGTATAAATTCAAGAGAATTATTATATAGACTTGTGCAGTCAGTTGTGATATTCTAGTAGGAGCAGCAGCAGCAGCAGAATTAGATCCCATTCCTCCAGTTTGCCCAAATGAAAATGAAGAGGGTATAATAATCTGATGAAGTGGAATGACTTCATGCTGATGATGATGGCATATGAAGTATTTAAATGGCTCATTTGAAATGAAAATTCCAAGTCTTCCTCTCTCTGTCTTCTTGCATAAATGAAATTATTGAATAAGTGGGCTCAAGCGTCTTCTTGGTCCCTCTTCACTACGAACAACGGGCGAGTAGACACTGGTGACTGGTGGTGGTGACTCTGAGAGAGTTGGGAAAAGGGCTTTCCTTCCAGTGAAAGTAATAACTTGGAAATGATAGATTTATGAATGAGGAGTAATATGCAATCAAACGGGGAAGGAAGGAAGGAAGAAGAATGGAAGAAACATTCCAAAACTCCATCTACTCCTTCAATGCCAATACCATTCACCAAGCCATAATTCTGACTACCAGTTAGCAGAGTCAGAGACAAAGACAAATTTTCCAAGCAGCAGGAGCAGCATCATGCAGAGGACAAATCTGAGGAATTCCAATAATCTATGGCCGTCCGTTATCTTTGTCCTTTCCTCATCTTCCTCCAACCCCTGCCTTTAAAGTCACACTGAAAGGGAAAGTCGTAAAATTCTACTTAAGCCAGATCAGGAAGCCTCATAATTCCCATTCTTTCTGGAACTCCCTGCTCTACTTATACCTGGATTAGGCGAAATTGAAATTTGAGGTGCAGGGGGAAGAAAGCCTGGCAAAAATGAAATGACAAATACAATGATGGAAATGAAAAGTTCTTTCTTAGTTTTTCTTCAATTTCTCGTTGTCCAGGGTTGACCTTACGGTTTTCACTTCCTCTCTCTTTCTTTACC